ACTTACGACGTCGATCAAGCTCCTCTCCCTTTAAGCACAGACACAAACAATCAAATTTAGATTTTTGTAAAATTATATAGCTTTAAACTAACTCAATATTATATTTAAACATGAATTGTTTCTAAAACATAGAGTTCAATGGGCAATCAATAACAAAATATAATGACTCAATAACATAGATTTTAGACAACTTTTCATTATTAATCTAAATATATTTCTGATTACGTACCCATTCGGCGGTAATCATGTGTCGAATTTCTGTCTCCACAAAACCGCAACGCATGCACTTAAACCCTATCTCCAGATCTAGAATCAGGTCGTGTTTTCGTTTTGTGCAACTTGATTGGGATGTCTCATTAGATGTGTTGCCTTTGTCATCCTCCATAAGTAGAATATATAGATTTTACAATTCATTGTGTAAGACATGATTAAAATAAACTTTAGTGAATATGATGTATTACCTGAAGAGTGTTCTGTTTGGCTTTCTGATTTGATGCGGTGAGTAAAAATGTAATTGTTCCCATAATTATTCTTGCTTTATCTTGGAATCTGTTGGTGAAGGTGGTGACTTAGGTTCCACGACACCGAATCTCATTACCAATGGTGGGGGATTGATGATCAACAAGCCATTTTCATCGAATTTTTTCGTTTGTGTTCGCCATGTTCTTATGAATGCTCTAAGAAACGATAAGGCTACTTATAAAATATTTTAAAGTTTTTTGAAAAGAAACCCTCAAGTCAGTATTTATAAGGTGTGCAATAATAATCAATTTTTTCATTTTTCAATTTCTTTATGGGAAAGATTATGCGACTTTATGTTTGCACCTAACTGTTTGACTTTCCAGGTTTCCTGTTTCATATAATTGTAAAGAAAATTGCTCAAGTAGATACATAAAGTTATAACATATAAGTCTACATAAATGTCATTTTTGTTATGATGTTGTATGAATATATCATTTCCTAAAATATTGAAACATAAAATTTTCCAAATAACATAAGCTATACAGAGATATCATATTATTTTATGGAAAGTGTTGCAATTTAGCAAAATTTTATATTTAGTAAAATAGTATATTTACTTATTGAGGTTGTGTGTATCTTTGGTGAAACTTAAAACATGGAATATATTCTCTCTGGTACGTGAAACGAACAAATCGTTCAATATCGATATGGAAGTGTCTTGACATAAATTAGTGGATTGTTGTTGGTTTTGACAATAAGGGGCTTTAAATGGTAATTGTTCAAATTTTTTCTTTTAAAATAATTCAAATGAAAATAAATTTATAAGAAAGAATAACTGCCTATTCAACTGCATAGTCTGTCCTTTTCATATTTAACACACTTTCTCATACTCCGTCACTTTTAGTTTTCCTCTTTATAAAACTTATTCAGAGTTCTCGATCGAAAAGAAGAAAAAAAAAGTTTATAAAATGTCTGATGTTGTCGATGTTGCATGTTTGGATACTTACAAAACAGGGTGGTTAATATCTGTCAAGGTTGTCAAGCTCTGGAAGCATTCAACATTATTCGGAAATACTATCGAGATGGTTTTGTCTGATATCAAAGTATGTGTCTTTTTTTGAAGTTATTCTTTTATGTTTTCTGTTTATTATTCAATGATTATTTTTGGCTATGTTATTTTTCTAGGGTACTCGGATTGCTGCAACCATTATGCCAAACGAATTTCTCACTCGCTGGAAAGAAATCAAACAGGGACAGTGGATTCGGATTTTCAACTTTCATGTTAAAGAAGCTACTGGATCAATGCTTACAACGATCAATAAACATCGTTTGCAGTTAACTTCTGTCACTATTATCACCCCTATTCGAACAAGATCGTACAATTTGTATCTCCATTGCTTCTGATTTTATGATATTGTGGATCGAGCCATTCCTTTTGACTATCTGATTGGTAAGAATTTCATCTTTAACTTTTTATAAGAATTAATCAAGTTTATCGGTGTGCATGATAATTTCTAAACATATATGTTAAGTTTTATAATAGATCTAAATTCAATTTATTATTTCGTTTATTATCAGATATATGAGAACTATTGTGAATATGGGTCCACTCTGCAATGCAAGTAATGATGCTTATGACGAGAATCTCGCTTATCTCCAATTTGAGATAGTAGATGCACGGTATTATGAATCATGTCCATTGATTTATATGTAAAAGACTATTAACATATTAAGTTTTAACCAAATATTTTAATTTTCGTATTATTTTTTCTTGTGGCAGAAGAGAAGGTCGGTTAGCATGTTACGCCCGTGGTTCTCTAGAAATAAGTCTCCATGATGTATATCTGAGAAACACATGTGAATCGGTTGTCTGGGTGTTAAAGTTCTGGAAGATGACAAATGGCCAAGGTATATACATATTTTCTCATATATGTCTTAAAATCTAAATATTGAATAAAACTTTTGTCTATTGTTGTTTAGGAGTCGATAAGAAGTTTGTGGTTCTCCAATCTAATGATCTATGCTCAGATTTTTTGTACAATCCTATCGATGCAGAAGTTGATGCATTTAGAGCGACGTGAGTATTTAAAATTTTGGGGTCTATATATATTATTGTTTCAATGTTTATTAAAATGTTTTGGTAATGACTTTTTATCACTTTCGTAGGCGGAACCAACTACGGACGAGAGCATCGACTGTTGGATGTTATTTGTAGACTTCCACTATTCTGCCTCTCTATTTACACTGTTTCTTCTTTGTGTTCTCGAACTCATTATTAATAATTTTATGCCTGCTTTTAAAACTAAGGTCAATGCTTTTGTTTAATACTTTCTTATTGATTATATATTAATTTTGTGATGTATTATCAAACTATATTTTATGAATTATATGTGTTTTATATAGCTCATATTGTTAGGTTTGATGTCAGGCTATGTCCTTTTTATAAGATTTATGTGGCTTCTGTTATGGAAAATATTTACATTATTTTTGGTATAATCAGAGTAATTGCCTAAAGTAAACATACTATAGATCAAGATACTTGCCTAAGGTAAACATATTAGGAAATATATATATACTTCGACTATTTATCACAGGAAAACGTACTGACTGTCGTCATAAATTTTCAATAGACTTCTAACTATAATTGTCTTTTCCAAGACCTCATAAAAAAATTTAATGATCGTGATAGTAAAGATATTCTACGATATGGACCCAATCGTGTTTAGTCTTAAGGATTTTTCAGAAAAATCGAAATCAGTAATATTTTGTAGAGATTTAGATTCGGTTGATGTTTAGATGTTTATTTGCTTAATAATATCTGATATAGCTATATCAATAATATTAAATCATGATTGATTAATGGATCCAGTATATATACATTTTTAGCTACCTTAATAACCAAATTATATTCAGATATCGAAATAAGAATAAAAAATAATAATACAATCATGAATTCCTTAATTTAACAATGATTTATTGGTATGAAAACATTAATATACACATATGTTTTGTCTTCGAATTAAAACAAATTTTTAAATCATATAGAAAGAAGATATACATATATAGATTGTGTTTTGTTATATTTTTAAAAAATTAGAAAGTTATAGATAATTTGTTTTTTAGTGGTTGTGATCATATTGTATTTATATTTAATATATATATATAACGGATGATGAAAATCGTTTTAAATGACTCGGTTCAAGTAAACGGTTTTTAATGAATCGTCATCATTATGCGTAATAATATTTTAAAAAACTTAACGTGTATATATAGATGATCTGATAAAGACTCGATGCAACAGAACATAACTACTTTCTGATATTTTATTCTCTCTAAACATCTGACAAACATGGGTAGTTATGATTTGGTTCATGAGATGAATGGATGGAGAGATGACTGGAGGATTGTGGTTAAAGTTTTGAAAAAGTGGAGCGTGAACGATCCACAGGGATTACCATGTCTTGGCTTCATTATGACCGATGAGAACTTTAGTTTTATTATAAACTAAACTCTTTAGTATTAAATCTCTGATTCTGTATATTTCTTTATTGTTTCTATAATTTCTATATTTTTTTCTTATATTTTAGGGATGCCGAATTCAGGCAATTGTTCACAATCAGATGTTCGAGTATTTCGAACAAGTTTGCCATGAAGGTCACTGGATTATGTTATCTCGGTTTAGTCTCAACCGATTGCTCAGTAATGATTGTGATAAGATAACTAGACACGATTTTATGATTACTCTGACTGACGACACAAAGGTTTCACGTATAATACCAATATCTAATAAGGTATTCCTCAGTTTCGTACAATTTTCACAGATTATCAATAATCCTTTTGCTCATGAGTATCCTATTGGATAGTATAATCATATATTGTTTATTTGTTTTTTTTTTGTTTTTTTTTGAAAAATTTGCTGTAGTTTTATTGATATGTGTGTTTATTCAGATTTGATTGGTGTACTTGACATTGTAAGATATCTCATACCAGTTGTGCAGACAGATTGAAAAATTGTCCTGACACTTCGTTTTTATCTTTTTTTTTTGACATCACTTCGTTTTTGTCTTAAAAACAATGAGTAAGCACATTCTTTTTATTTTCTATTGCTTATTGTTATGATAATTTAGTTTACAATAACTCTATTATGTAATTTGAAGGGATAATACATTGGAATGTATCGCACATGGCTCATTAGCATCTGACATAAAGGAACAATGCATAGGATATGATGGTTCATTTGACGTATGTGTTTTAACCGATTGGTGTGTTACGAGAACTGGAGGTATACCTTTTAATTTGATATAACTCTAAACAATTTGAATTTTTAGATATCATCGTGCGTATTGATTCTTTTTTATTATAAGAAATTATTATCCAAAATCACAAAGAAGAAGGTCTTTCGTGTTTCATGACTGCTCCTGGAATGGATGAAGTTTCTGAATTTCGGGCAAAGTAAGATAATTATTATGACATTAACCCTACTCTTTTTATATAGTTTTTTTTGTTGTACTATATTGTTTACATATATTCTTAAATATTAATTTCAGGACTTGGGTGAAGATACGAAACGAAGTGCATGAAAACAGTTCTTTTTTTTTAGATATGTACTAGCTATAATTTATATTTTTATTATTATATTTGTTATCGTTTTTTTTTTGGTTTTTGGTTATTGATTTTATCATGTTCTACTAAACACTATGTTTTATAAATAATATGATTTTGTAGCATCTATGAAAGAAAAAAATAAGAATCTAGAAACAGTTCTTTTTGTTTGTTCACTGAAGAAATAATTACTTGGTTGAATTTACGCGTTCTTGAACACGATAACAAGTCACCATCTTTAAAATATATATGTAGATATTTATGATTTAGCTAATGTAAATTTTCTTTACAATAAATTTGTCATTTAAAATATATAGATGGTGTTATAGTAAACAATTTTAAGAATTGGTAACAATGAGAATTGGAATATTAACATAATTTTAAATAGAAAAACCTCAATATATATATATATATATATCTATTTATTTTACTCGAAGATAATACTGTTTCCTTATCTATATTTATCCTGAAATGTTAATATTCTTAATTTTCGATTATAGATTAATATAAAATCATATTTTTTTCTTATAAATATACTCTAAATTGCATAACCCTAAACGATAGTCATCACGCAATGGCGGATTATGATTTTTTTCGTCAATTGGACTCTCAAAGATCTGACTGGAGAATTATAGTGAAGATACTCAAAAAATGGGTGGTGGATTACTCGGACGATAATCGAAGTCTAAATTTCATTCTGGTCGATGAAATGGTAAATTTCATTAACCTATAATGGTATTTGTGATATTTATTATTGGTTATGCTTATTGTTTTAACATACACTAATTTGTTCTTTTGTTGTTCTAATGTTATCGTATAAACTTCTAGGGTTGTAGAATACAGGCTCGGGTAAACAATCAGATGATGGAGCATTTCAATCAAATATGCGAAGAAGATCAATGGTTTATGTTGACTGGATTTCTTTTGAATCCTTACAGTTGGACTAATATCCAAAGTATTACAAAACACGATTACGTTACTACACTGACAAAGGGAACAACGATTTCACCAGCTTTACCATTAACAAATAATTCGTTATATAATTTTGTATCATTCCTCTCGATTTATGAATTCCGAGATGCTCATTATTATCTAATTGGTAAGAATATTCTGGTATCTTCTTACAAAGCAAAATTTATTGTTCGCACTAATGTCTTTATTTTGACTAATTACAATCGCAAATTTGATTGGAGTCGTCGAAGATGCTAGATATTTTACTATTACATACCCGGATGGAACGACTTCATCATCAATTTGATTTAATATAATAGATGATGAGTAATTATATCTCAAACTATATGTTTTTGAAGTTTAACTAACTAATTATTAACTACATTCTTTGTCAAAATATAGGGAGTTTATGCTAGAGTGTGTTGGCAACTGAAATAAGAGATAAGTGTAGAGAATACAAAGGTCCCTTTGCTATATGTGTGTTAACCGATTGGTGTGTAGCAATTGACGGAGGGATGTTCTCTGATGATACATCAATATGTTATTTATAAAATCGTTGTATATAACATAACAATATTCCAATATATATGTTTTAGAGAATGTGTCTATCAAGGATCATGATGATGATGGTGTGTCCCGTTTTATCACTGATTCACCTATTGATGAAGTTTTAACCTTGCGCAATAGGTAAGTATGTTTCTCTGTGTTGTTTAAATTGACTTATGAAAAACAAAATATTTTCATAAATTTAGATCTACATGATTTTGTTATTGAAATTTCAGGATTAGAGAGAGATTATATGGGCTGGATACAGATGATGTCTAATGGATTAGACCGATTAAAATGATTCAAAATCGATAATCCATATATATTATTAGTTTTGTTAGATATTTTTTTTGTATTTACAAGGCTGTTTTACGATTATTAATAAATAATAATTTATTCTAATAAATTGGATTACAAACGATATTAATTATTTTTAATAATGTTCTGTCAAAAAATAGCGCGTGTTGGATTATTAAAAAGCATGTCAATAACATATATAATTGATTTGATTCTAAATCTGTTTGTTGTAAACGGTTTATTATGTTACACTTAAATTATATATCATCTGAGCCTAATATTTTTATATATCTTATGGGCCAAAAAATTTCGTGTTGTAACAAAAATTCGACTCTTCCTTTAACAGATAAATTGTTAACCAATAATCTATTTAGAGTATTCATCATAAATTGTAACTTTTTAAAAATGGAGTATAGTTCTATTAATTTCTTTTATAAGTATTTATATAACTTAAAGCTTGTGTGTTGGATTTTATTATATGATTTATTTTAGTATTTGTATGATTTATTTCTTTGTATAAGTATTTATATAACTTAAAACTTGTGTGTTGAATCTTATTATACAATATTTTAGTCTCAATTATTGAAAATAAAAATGTGATGTTTATGTTACAAGAATTTCAATAATCAAATTATAATAAGATTCATAGGATGGCTACTCAAGCTATTTCTTCTTTCTTTTAAGTATTAGTTGCTTTATGAGGTAAGCTCATTTGTTGGCATTACTTAACAAACTTGATGACGAAACACTGTAGGAGATAAAAGAAAAAGAAAGGATAAGGAAGAAAAACAGAGGAGTTTTACCAGCAACGACAGAGATTTGCATGTCTTTGTAGCGATCTACAAAGATATCATCTGTATGTTTAAACGCCGTGTGATCCAGCAACAACGTTGTTATGTCCTGAAACATGATCCCTATCCGAGAAACAAGAAACATCTTCAGAAAATTGTAAAAAAAAAAAAAAAAAACAGAGCAAAATAAACATCGGGTATGTGAAACGAAACAGAGGAACAAGTTCTTCTTAAGACCTTTCTTGGGGAAATTAGGAACTACTCTAATGGCTGCCGATATAGCTTCCAGCCTTGGATCTCCTTTCAGACCGTTCTCCGCCGCAAACATCGTTTTCTCTCTCTCTCTCTCTAGTTTTGAAATTCAAGAGAGTGAAGGAGCGTCTCACTAGTATATTAATCTCTGTCTCTCTCTCTCTCTCTCTCTCTGAGAGAATTCAAAGTAGAAAATCAAATTAAATTTCCCTCGCAGAAGAAGGAAACGAGGAAATGAAATGAGATCAGATCGTTTCTCTCTCACTCTCTCTCTCTCTCTGCGTGTCTCTGTCTCGCTCTGTTTCTCTGTTCACCACCAGTTGTAGAGAAAGTAGGTGAGAGAGCATTAAATAGTTAAATAGATTGAGAAAAAAAAGAGAGCGTGGAGTGTACATTACACGCGCGAGCTGGGTCGGCACACAGGATTTATGAACCGCAATAAAATCACAAACGCAAGAGGGGGTGTGTTGGAGTATTAAAGAGAGGGAAGATCCGAAGGAGAAAAGAAAATCTTATGGATCTTCGAGAGAATCTTTGGCTTTTAGTCCTCTCTCTCTCTCTAGAGTTCTCGAACGAAAGACCTATAAAGGAGAGAGAGATTCGATACTCTGCAGAAAACCATTTCTATAAAAAGAAGTACCCATTCTCCTAAAACTCGTTCACATTCCATGTTTTGTGCCCTGTCTCCTCCATCCCTAGCTCCTTAAATATAGTATAAAAATCAGAAAAAAAAAACTCTTTTCTTTATAAAAATCAACTGCAAAAAAAAACTTGTAAACTGTGTAATTTGTAATGTATTACTACAAAAAAAAAAAAAATTGTATATTTGTAGGCGTTAGGTCCTTTAGAAAAATTGATACTATATATTTTGTAGGCGTTGGGATAGATTTCTTTTAGTTTTCTATTTAAATCTCTCTTCGTAGGTGCTAATATTTCTGTCTCCTAAACACTACACTATTGTTTTATAGATTGCGTATATAAAAGTTAGTTATTTAGTTAGATAGTAGTAGTAGTACTGGTTTTTATGTGTATTCAAAGCGTAAGAAAAGTACTTAAGTACAAGGCAGCAAATCAACAACAACAACAAAAAAAAATACAATCATCAGCAAAGAGCCAATGTGCGCCTAAATTTGAGTGGGACATGCTAACTATAAGACAATTTATTTTTGGTTGATGGTACGGTACAGAAATTAGTTTTGAATTCAGCTTAACTTATAACTCTATTTTAAGTCAACCATTTCTTGTCATCCAACCTATATATGCAACGATCATCAGAACTTATTAAGTGGAAAGAGGAACTTATTAAGTTGTGTTTTGATTAAGATTATGGTAAAACTTGTTGATGGAGTAATACAATTTACGAAAACCTGTGATAGATCTGTAGCGAAGATCAATAACACATCAATTTCTTGAGTGGATAATCCTCTTAGATGAAGAGTAAAAACCACGTGACTATATTATAGTTCACAAAAAAAAATTTGGTTACAACTCACAACAACGTCTTTCATGCTCCAATAGTATACATAGAGATTTCAATTAGAAAGAGTCATTCTCTAGTAAAAAAAAGTCTCTATCACTCCATTTTACTTGTAAAAAAAACAAAAAAGGACTAAACGAGCTATCAGACAAATAGTCCTAACAACTTTGGTACAATTTTTTCCCAACCACCGAATCTTATATCCACCACAACAAAATCTACAAGCATCAATCCGATCCCTTACCTGCTTGTAAGTTGTATGATCGTCATCTTGATCAAACTAAGTGGCCTCTATTAGTCTAGTATTGTACTATCTATTATAGTATTTAAGAAGTGAATCGGGCTGTGGTTTAACGCATAAATTTTTGTGTCGTTTTGATTAATGAATTCCTTATGTTCTGATTGGTCAGCTGATGCTATGTTCTGATTGGTTGATCAACTATTTTTATCACTAAAACCATAAATTAAACCATATGTTAAATGCTAAAATCATTTTAAAAAATCGAACATGGGCCCGTATTTCTAACTGCCGAATAACGTGGCCCAATTTTCAAATACAAAAACATTATAGATACCTTCCAATAAGTCGTTTGTGCTGAATGAGATGGCAGCTGTGTTGGTTAGGTGCTTTGTCCATTTATCGAATGCTCACGGGTTTGAATCCTGTGGTTAGTTTTTTTTGTTTTTAATTTTTAGATTTTAGTTATAATTCGATGTTTGGAAATATTTTTTATTTATAAAATATTTTATAAAAGGAAATATGTCATAATTTCCTTTGTTATTATCTAGAATTGAATCTTTACATTTTTATAATTAATAACTACGCAATTCATGGGAAGATAATATCGTATATAGAACAATAATTACCTTTTAGTATTTTTCATAAGAAAATAAACCTTAGGTTGTTTAGACGTATAAATATGAGCGTTTTCAACCAAATGTCTCATAATTTACGCATTAGTTTTTCTATTAGAGTTCCGTGTTTATTTTGCTAGGGTTTTTATAATAGCATTAACTTTTTGGATCTCCTTAGAAAAGATTCATCATGTTTGTCTATTTGCATGCAAACCTAACTATGTGTTCGTCTAATTACAGCTTTGATCATCCATCTAAAGTCATCATCACTTGGGAAGTTCCGTCTACTGCTTCGTGTATATATCTAACTATTATCAAATTTAATAATAGTATATATGCTCTCAACTTTTTTAACGAATTCTAAAAATTTATTCGACTATAGGTTTTGATAACCAGGCTTATGCTCGCGAGTTAAGGTCTGTGTTGAAATCGCATCGTCAGAATATGGATCACAAAGAGATGACTGATTATCGTTACGTAACTCCATACGTTTTCGTGGATATCACAAAAAAAAGGTTGTTGTACCTCTTTAGGTTATTCATGCAAGTTATAATACTTATTAGTAGTTGTTTTGTATTTGTAGGTTATCCATGCAAGCTACTGATGGATTATGCTATCGACGAATGGACCTTGCGGACATATAATCCTGTTATCGAAGGTAGTCCTGTCTATTAATTTTACAGTTTTGTACCTTTTGTAGTGCTATATCTTAGTCTTTCAGATACATACCTTTATTATATATTAATCTACGAACGTGTTCAATTTTTATGTAGATATAGATTCTGCAGATTATATATCTATTCTTGATCACAAGTTTTTTTATCAAAGGAGGTATTTCTGCTCTTCATGTAATGTATTTTTGTTAATGATGTATATTAAATTTTATACGTATTTATGTTTGTTCTAATGTTTGTTTTGTGCATTTAGGTTCTGATCGTGTTAATACGAGTGATCATGCTCAGAAGACCTTTCTATGGGATTTTGCGAGGAATGCTTGGGTTATGAATAAAGAATCTAATGGTTTCAATTCTTTGTTTTTTGTTTTGAACACCATTTTTTTTTTTAGAATACTAATTACGCCGTTTTTTCATATATTTATCTATGCAGAAGATATTGACTCTGATGATACTGAAGTGTTATCTGGTCGTGGTACTGATGATGATTATGGTTTTGAGGATTATATGGGGTCTGATTCAATGACGCGCGATGATACTGATGATATGGACCAAACAGATGAATACGATTCTGAAGATGATTTTATTGACGACAATGAGTCTTGTGAAGGATCTGATGGATCAAGTGATAACTCAGAAGGTGATAGCGGTGATGACGAAGATGAAGATGATGACGATGCTGATTCAAATGATGATGATGAAGGTGATGATGAAGATGTTATGTTGGATGATGAGACTGGGATTGACGATGATAGTGAAGATCAGCCAAACGTCGAACTGAGTGATATACTCATCGAAAAGAATATTAGTATATCTGGACACCAGAATTTGGTGTGTACTTATACAGTTTCTCTTGGTTCAATGTGTTTTGGAAGGTGTGTGTCACGTTTGAGTCCTTCCAAAGATGGTTGTACTATCTTTGTTAAGGTTTTACAGACGTGGATGCATATGCTAATTTCAAAACGTTCTTCCATGGAGCTCATATTGTTGGATGAACAGGTATTTATTGTACTATTACACAAAAATATTCTAAATTTTTGTTGGTGTCTAATTGACTGTTTTATTCATAGGGTGTTAAAATTCAGGCCACTGTTAAGGATGGTGAGATCGGTGTCGCATCGTCTCACATAGGTGTTGGTAGTTGGATTATTATCAGTCGTTTTTCTGTTATCGATTGTGAGGATAGTTGTAGACCGACTTCTCATAGATACAAAATATAGTTCCTACCATCAACTATCATTGACAAGACTTCCCGTAGATGTGAAAATGCTTATTTTGACTTCGTTGATTTTCATAGGATATAGGATCGGCACATGATGATGACTATTTAGTTGGTGTGTTTATTTT